AGACAGTGGAATAACACAAGTGCTGAAAGAAAATCATCAAACAAGAATTTGATAGCCATCAAAAAGTATTATTCAAAAATGAGAAAGTTAAGACATCATCAGATTTATTTATTTTTTAAAGATTTATTTATTTATTTATTTATTTATTTATTTATTTATTTAGAGAAAGAGAGAGAGAGAGGCAGAGACACAGGCAGAGGGAGAAGCAGGCTCCATGCAGGAAGCCCGATGTGGGACTCGATCCCAGGTCTCCAGGATCACAACCCGGGCTGCAGGTGGCACTAAACCGCTGAGCCACCTGGGCTGCCTGACACCATCAGATTTAAAAATGTACTCTACAAGAAAACTACAGGATAGCATTATGGCTGTAGTGAAAGAACACTAAAGCATTACTGAAATCCACATGAAGAATAAAAGCACCAGTAAAAATAACTACATAATAAAAGCATAAAGTATAAACACATTAATTCTGTTGATTTTTTTTCTCTTACTGATATAAAGGAACCATTATCAATCTGTATGGAGTATACATACTATATCCAGATATAATTTGTGTAACAATAAATATATGTATTCCATATATATTATTGAAATTGACTTGATATTAATTCAAATTATGCTGGTATCAATTTAATTAAGTTCATTTTAATTCTCAGGGCAATTAAAGAAAGAAATTTTAAAATACAGTAAAATAAAAAATAGTAAAATGAGTAAGAAGAGAATTAAAATGGCACACTAGATAATATCTATTTAACATAAAAGAAGCAGTAATGGAGAAAGAGATAGGGAAAGACATAAAACATAGTGAAAGTGGTGGCAAAATAATCTTACATCTCAATAATCACAATAAATGTAAAATATTAAACACTCCAATTAAAAGGCAGAAAATGTCAAAATAGATTTTTTTTAATGAACCAACCATATGCATGCAGTCTATAAGAGATGCACTTTAGATACAAACTCACAAGGTTGATAGTTAGAAGAAAGGAAAATAATAAACATACCAAACACAACGAAAGAAAAATGGAATACTCATAATAATATCAGAAAAATCAACTTTAAGACAAAAGTTGTTAGAGACAAAGGAGGATGTTTTATAATAACAAAGGAGCAAGCCAACAAGAAGACATAACAAGTATAAAATTGCACCCAACAAGAGTCTCAAATAAATAAAAACCATTCAGAATTAAACTAATTATTATATTAATTTTTTTTTCATTTTGGGAAGAGGTCACTGATTTAAATGACATGTGGGAATTTATTTTTTTAAGATTTTATTTATTTACTCATGAGAGACACAGAGGGAGAGGTAGAGACACAGACAGAGGGAGAAGCAGGCTCCAGGTGGGGAGCCCAATGTGGGACTTGATCCCGGACTCTGGGATCATGCCTTTAGCCAGACAGACACTCAACTGCTGAGCCACCCAGGCATCCTGACATGTGGGAATTTAAAACATAAAACCATAGCATAAGGCCAACATTACACATTTTAAGAAGACCATCTTATCTGCTCTTTTATATTAAAAAAAATCAAAAACCTCAGATTTAGATATAGATTTGAATACTAGCACCACTGCTTATAAATTTTGAAGTTTTGCCAAATTTAATTGCTCTTGACTTCAGTTTTCTTGTCTGTCAAAGATAAAATATTTTATTATCAAATGAAATTATTTATATAAATTACACAGTCAATGCTTAAGCCCAAAAGCATTGGAGTCACCTATGGAGTCTTAATTTCATACTTAATAACTAAGTATATCCATCCAAGAATCCTTTCAAATATATCTATAATCCAAGCACTTTTCTTTACCTCCACAGATATCACTTTGATTCAAGCAACTATATTCTCCCACCTGGATTGTTTGTAACTGGTCTCCTTATCTGCACCCCAATACTCTATTCTCAACACAAAGCCAAAGTAATTTTTCTAACACATAAAAGAGATCATGTCACATTTTGTTCAAAACCCTCAAGAGGTTTAGCACTTATTTGAGAGTAAACCTGAAGTGTTTTTTTTTTTTAAAGAATGTATTTATTTATTCATGAGAGACACACAGAGAGAGGCAGAGACAGAGGCAGAAGGAGAAGAAGGCTCCCTGTAGGGACCCTGATGTGGGACTCGATCCCAGGACCCCAGGATCACAATCTGAGCCAAAGCAGATGTTCAATCGTTGAGGCACCTAGGTGCCCTACAAACCTGAAGTTTTTAAAAGATTCTACATGAGTAGTGCCTTCATGGCTCAGTCAATTAACCATGTGACTCTTAATTTCTGTTCAGGTCATGGTCTCAGAGTGCTGGGATTGAGACCCCATCCCCCTGTCATGCTCTACACTTATGGAGTAGTCTATTTGAGGAGACTTTCCCTCTGCGCCTCATCCTGCTCACATTCAATCTCTCTCACTAAAATGAATAACTTTTAAATCAATCAATCAGTGTGATCTATCTCCCTTTCACCTCTCTGATCTTATCTCTTGTCCTCACATCACTTGACTTCCTTACTATTTCTCTTTCTTGTCACATCACACACACCTCAGTTTTAAGGGATTATCAATGGCTATTCTGGATTATCAATTGCTATTCTGTCTTCCTAAACTTCTCTTTCCCCATATTTTCACATAGATTATAACATCATTCAAATTATTGCTGAGATCTACTTTCTTAAAAGAAGCCAACCTGACCACCATATTTAATATTGAAAAACACACTTTTCCCACATTCTTGATTCATCTCACCTACTCTAAATTTCCTCGCAGCACTCACCATATTCAAGTATACCATACAAATTACTTATTTTTTGAGTATTGTTTATTTTTGTACCGTCTGGTAAAAATGTAAGCTCAGGAATATTTTTCTGTTTTATTTACTGTTACACCCTCGGTACTAGTATCTAGCCCCAACAAGATACTCAATAAATATCTGTTGAATAAATGCATAAATAAAAATAAATTCCCAAACTTGTTAAATAATATAAATGGCAGTTATTGTGGCAACATTTCAGAGGTCTATTCCAATGTAGACCTCATGCTGGGCACTGAAAATACAAATATGAATAAGTAAGTACTTGTCTTCATGGAGTTTATAGTCAAGCTGAAGCAATAATCACACAGGTGGATCATTTCAATCTAAGTATCAAGTCCTATGATAAAGAATTTCCCAAAGGAAATCATAGGATGCTGTGCAAAAGTGAGTTATTGTTATATCTTCTACAGACAAAAATAAACTGGTGAAAAACAAAAGCCATAAAAATCTCCAATAATAAATCTTAAAAATTGTGAATTGATTTTATTTTCTGTGTTTGTCCACTGAAAGTTATCTTTAGAAGTCAGTCAACCTAAATAACATTTACACTTGCCCTTAAGATGGTGGTTTATTTCCTTTATGTAAAACTCTTATTATACATTTTACTTTATTTTCCAGAATAATGAGGTATTTATTTTTCTTTCTTATTTTGGTTATATTTTCTTTTTTCCTAGAATATTAGGGAATTCTCCAAAACCTCTCTACAGAGAAATATGGAAGCTTTCTGTTTTCAGAAAAGAAAAAACTACATGCAAAAATGTATCCCAGCTTTCTAAAGGGCTCTGTTTTCTCAGTGTTTTTCTTCAGATCTTTTATTCTTCACAAGAAATTTTAAACTGAAAACTAAACTATTTAGGAAGTAGACAAGGATCAATGTATAAGTATATTATGAATTAAAGTCCCTATGGGGGGGGGGGTGCCTGGGTAGATCAGTTGGTTAAGCAACCGACTGTTAATGTCAGCTCAGGTCATGATCTCAGGGTCCCAAGACTGAGACCAGTGTGGGGTTCTGCCCTGAGTAAGTAGCCTGCTCGAGATTCTCTTGCTCTCTCTCCTTCAGCTCCTCACCCTCCTCATGTGCATTCTCTCTCTTAAAAAAAAATTAAGACTTTATTGATTTATTCATGATAGAGAGAGGCAGAGGAAGAGAGAGAGAGAGAGAGAGAGAGAGAGGCAGAGACACAGGCAGAGGGAGACGCAAGCTCCATGCAGGGAGCCTGACGTGGGACTCAATCCCGGGACTCCAGGATCACACCCTGGACCAAAGGCGGGCACTGAGCCGCTGAGCCACCCAGGGATCCCTAAAAAATTTTTTTAATTAAAAAATAAAATAAAATGCCCATTGGAACTGGTGAACTGAAATTCAGAGTACATGCAACTGACCCTCTGCAGCTTTTTTCAGTTATATCATTCTCTGATAGAAGGAAACCCAAATTATACTAGCATCACTAAAATATTAAATAAAGATGAGGAGCCCTTGAAAATGAGAGGGAAGAAACCACACTATGCTAGAAAATTAGCAAAGGTCATATGACTTTCCCATCCTGTCTAGTTTGTTAATTTCCAAAATCTTGCCTTCTACAGAAAAGTAAATGTACCAATTTAACCAGTTAGATGGGGAAGATCCTCTCAAAAAACAAAGTGCTCATCCACGTGAGAGAAATATCTTTCTGGATATCATTCAGAGATTGAATGGGGTAATTTTCCAAATGGTTCCTGCATCCCTCAAGGAGTTAATTTACTCCCTCTCCTGGGTAAATCCACTTCATTCTGGGAAAAGGTTTCTGATTTTGGACCACAGATTTTTTTTAAAAAAGAGATTTGTAAAGCTATGCTTTTGCCTGATCAAAACCACTAGGAAGACAAAGGGACAGAAATCACTAGTCATATTATTGTAGTCATATCCCTGTTATATTGCAGTGTGTAATAATCAACAATGCAGAATCATAATTAGCTCTTTATCCAACAAAGGCTGAAAGAAAAAACTTGGGAAAAAAACATAGTAACTGCATGAATATCCTCAAAAATACATCCTCTCCAAGGTAAAACCAAAAGATACTGACTCCAGCAATAAATGTATCCAAACATAACATTATGGTAATACACTTCAGCTACCAAAAGAAGCTAAAGAAATCCTGTGTCCCTTTGGTTCAATCACCAAGTATTTATTTATTTATTTATTTTTAAAATCAAAGGGTTTTATTAGGAAATGTCATAATAAAATATGTAATCTTTATATAAGTATGTTCTCTTAAAAATAAAACATGAAAACAAGAACAATTAAAAAGAAACCATGATGGAGGTAAACAAAAGCATTATGATGTTACTATTGTTCTTTATTTCTCAGAAGAATTTATTAAGAAATAGAGGCCAGTTATCTTTTCAGGATAGCAGCTCTTAAAGGTAGTATACTGTTCAAATCTCTTTTGTTTTTCAATCTGTGCCATGACTTTAAAAACTGATCCTTGATCACGTCAAATTTCTGCTTCTCATGCACAGCTCTGGCTGTATTTGTTCCATCAAAAGGTTCTTCTACACAGATGTATTTATTTCTCCACTCAATACCATCAGGCCTGGGAATGGCTTTGGCTTCACGAACTGAAATCATTTGACTGTTCCAGTCAAATTCCGTAGCATAATATTTAAGAAAGCCCAGTAAGAGGTCCCCAAGATTTGATTCATTCTTCGAGAGGTAAGGAGGAACATTACATGGAGCTTGATGTACAAGGTGCAGCTGTATAGCCGGACTAAAAGATTCTGGGTAAATTTTTTGGATGGATGGAAGGATGGGTTCAGGTAGGGTTTGTAAATAGTGCAAAACCATCAATACAAGACTATAGCTGCTTAAAGTACCACGACTGGCATCATTTATTTCATGGTGACTCGCCCACTTCTTAATCACCAGTACTAAGGGACGAACTCGATTTTCAAGGTATGGTAAGTTCTGAGAAGGAATGTGTTTCTTATTCCAACAATATTGTTTACATTCAAGTCGAATTCCACACAACTGACTTTATCCCTGAACTTCACAATTGGCACTTTTGCTCTAATCAGCTGAGGTCTCTCAATGTAGCCAGAAAGTCTAGTACAGAAGTGTTTAAGGACTAAGGTGAGTATATGCCGTGCTTCAGTCTTCTGATTTACCTGAAAAAAACATGGTTCTTCTTTAACAACTAGGCATAAATCACCATCACTGCTCCGGGTACCAAATCCATTTAAAGAGGACCCAACCAAAAAAAGTCTGCTTTGTGGAAATAACAGCTGAATTTCTCTCTGCAGCTGTGTTCGACACAATTCTTTCTTCTTTAAATCACTTACTTGCTGCTGACATGCTTCAAATAACTCCAGTATCTGCTGACTCAACTTATCTTTGGCCTCAGGCAGTGTGATTTCTCTAGGTTCTAAAAATGGTATTTCTCGAAAAGGTGGAACACATCTGACTATATCTGGTACATAGTGTGTATGAAACAATGGCGGCATTGAGTATCTTCTTTCACCTGATAAAGGCACTATGTGGTTAACTATAGTTGGTTCTTGGTGGGGTGAATGGAAACGTTGCCGTTTACCGTCAAGAGGAAGGTTTTTTTCATCGCTTAATCTCTTCCTTCCTCGAAATAACGGAGAAGTTGAGGTCTGTATTGGACTGACATTTCCATATGTCAATTGCTGTAAAGACACAGCTCTTGACAAGTCTGTATTCTGAAAATTGAACTGTGCATCTATAAGCTGCTGGTGTGAGTAAAGAGGTGGCGACAGGGCAAAGAAGTTATTATGCTGTTGATGGCTTGGGGTGAAAGGCGGGCGACCCAAAATTGAGTTTGGGAACATGCTCTTGTTCACTAAAAGTGAACATGTATTCTTCTACCTCGGCGGCTCAGCGCCCTCTGAAACACCGCGCAGGGGTCCCGGACACTCTTCCTCCCGAGGTCCTAGACCGAGAGCGGGGCGCGCGGAAGGGCAGCGAGCCGGCCGAGGCGGCGGCCCGCCTCTCCCACGGAGCGCAGCAGCCCGGCGGCCGCGCGAGTCCGAGCCGTCCCGGGAGCCGCGCCGCGCGGCTGCAGGAGGAGCCCCGCCCCGCCCGCCCGGCCCCGCCCGGCCCGGCCCGGCCTCTCCGACTGCGGCCCGTTCCAAAGGCCGCTAACTCACAGGGGAGCCGGGGAGGGCTGCCGGGCCGACCGGCGCTGCCCGCCCAGGGCCCACGGCCCACGGCCCACGGCCCGAGCAGCGAGGGCTCGGCGCCTCACCAAGTATTTATTAAGCACTACCTATGTAGCAGGGATTCTGCTATTCAATAGAGATTCTAATTTGTTGGTAGAAAATGGTGATTAAAAGGACAGACTCTGGAATTAGACTGCTTCGATTCACACCTCTACTCCTTACTAGCTGTGTGTCCTTAGACTAAAGATTGTACCTCTGATGTTCCAGCTATAAATTCATAAAGATGTTGTAAGGATTAAATGAGATGATATGAGCAGAAGGGTAAGAAGATTTCCTAGTGCACAGAAATACAGAGCTGAGATAAAGAGGCTATCAATGAAGCGAGCAAAACGAACGAAAAAGTAGTTATTATAAAACATGTTAAGAATCATGGTCTAAACATGCAAAAACTGTTATAGGGACATAGAAGTAAAAAAGCCTAACCCTACTTGAGGTTGCAAGGCTGGCAAGGGATAAACAGAATTGACACTTGAGTTATACTCAAAGGATGAATAGGAGCCTTCCAGATGTCAAATGAGTGAAGGCAGAAGGAACATTATGTGGAAGAGCATAGGGCAATGAGACAAGAAGGTTAGGCCAGTATGACCAGGGTCTAATAAAGTCAAGAATCCTAGGACAAAGGTTGAAGAGGTAAGATTAGGATAAGGAAATGGGTGCTATTGGAGGATTTTAAACAAAAGGAGTAGTACAACAAATTTCATTGCTAGAAGATTTATCTAGGGACAGTAGAAAGAGGAAATGAGAGACCTGAATAAAGCTTAAGACAGAAGCAGTGACAATACACAGGAATATATTGCAATGAGTCAAACAAGAAAGGATAAGAACTCATGAATAATGAAAGTAAGGAGTATATTACGTAGTTAAAATTCACAGGTGTTTGTTAAGGGAAAAATCCTTCTTCCTCACTTCACAATTTTATTTAAATGTCTGATTTTTTTTTTTTAAATTTTTTTTTTTAATTTATTTACGATAGTCATACAGAGAGAGAGAGAGAGGCAGAGACACAGGCAGAGGGAGAAGCAGGCTCCATGCACCGGGAGCCTGACGTGGGATTCGATCCCGGGTCTCCAGGATCGCGCCCTGGGCCAGAGGCAGGCGCCAAACCGCTGCGCCACCCAGGGATCCCCTTAAATGTCTGATTAACTTCCATGGGAAAGAAGGGGAAAACCAATAACTCATGAAAAATAGTAAGAGTAAGATTTTCTTTCATTAAAGAACAGTGAGGACAGCTTAAAAGTGAATTTATCATCTGCACAGAACTTAAGAAAGGGTTGGATGATAATTTGGCAGGTTTAACCAGCTAGCCAAAGTTTCCTTCCAAACAGAGCTAAGTTTACTGAGAAACAAATGAAGCTTCAGTTTCAAGGTTCAAACTGCAGATATTTATGATATGAAAGGAAAGCAAGGCTGCACTTCTTTAAAGCATTTCTGGTAAATGGCCTAAAAAGGTTGCAGCATAAGGGAACCTGAATCCCCAAGATACTAGTAATTTATGGTGATCTCCTTTTTATTATGAACACATAATTTTATATTCATAAGATTTTAGATATCTTTCTCAAATATTTTATTTCTTTATTTTTTGAAAGAGAGAGAGAGAGCAAAAGAAGGGACAGAGGCAGAGACAGAGAATTCCAAGCAGCCTCCACACTAAGTGCAGAGCCTAATGCAGGCCTGATCTCAAGACCCTGAAATCATTACCCTAGCCAAAATCAAGAGTCAGACACCCAACAAATTGAGCCACTGAGGCACCCCTTGTATTCAGAATTTTGTAAAATTTTTCTTAAAGAAGACTCTCTGAAATTACATAAGCTTCAAGGCCATACAAAATTAAAACAGTCCTTGCTTCCCACCATTAAGCTGCTGTGGCTTAAGAAATGGAAAGTTACCTCTGACTCCTAGGGTTGAGAGCATATTTTCATCTTGATAATACAGGAATTGATTCTCCATATAAACAACATGATTTACTTTAAATATATTAGGAGCTATTAACCAGCAATTAAACATTGAATACATGATGAATAATTAATGTTTTATAACTCCCCATACAATGAGAGTAAAAATAGAGATTTGAAGTTTGGGTGACATTTTCAAAGTCGTTCTTCTTCAAAGATTAAAAAGGCTTTCTAGTTTTTGTTTTCCTCTGGCTATTCAGGGTCTTTTCTGGTTCCATACAAATTTTAGGATTATTTGCCCCATTTCTGTGAAAAATGCTCATGATATTTTGATTGAGATTGTGTTGAATGTGTAGATTGCACTGGATAGCATAGACATTTTAAAAATATTTATTCTTCCAATCCACAGTTTTTAGAGTAGAGATACTTTACTTCTTTGGTTATTTTTATTCCTAGGTACCTTGTGGTTTCAGATGCAATTATAAATGAGATTGATCCCTTAATTTCTCTTTCTTCTGTCTCATTATTAGTGTATAGAAATGCAACTGATTTTTTATACTGTCATGTTGCTGAATTCCTGTATGAGTTCCAGGAATTTGGGGTGGAGTCTTTTGGATTTTCCACATAAAGTATCATGTCATCTGTGAAGAGTGAGAGTTTGACTTCTTTGCCAATCTAAATGCCTTTTATTTCTTTTTGTTGTCTGATTGCTGAGGCTAGGAGAAACAGTACTATGTTGGACAACAGTGGTGAGAGTGGACATCCCTGTACTGTGCCTGATCTTAGGGGAAAGGCTCTCAGTTTCTCCCTATTGAGAATGATACTTGCTGTGGGCTTTTCATAGATGGCTTGTATGATCTTGAGGTATGTTCCCTCTATTCTTACACTGTGGAGAGTTTTAATCAAGAAAGGATGTTGTATTTTGTCAAATGCTTTTTCTGTATCAGTTGAGAAGACCATATGGTTCTTGTCCTTTCTTTTATTAATGTGATGTATCTCATTGATTTGCAGAGGTTGAACGAATCTTGCAGCACAGGAATAAATTCCACTTGGTCATGGTGAATAATTCTTTTAATGTACTGCAGGATCCTATTGACTAGTATCTTGGTGAAAATTTTGGCATCCATATTCCTCAAGGATATTGGTCTGTAATTCTCCCTTTTGGTGGGGTCTTTTGGTTTTGGCCTCATAGAACGAGTGTGGAAGTTTTCCTTCCATTTCTATTGTTTGAAATATCTTCAGAAGAATATGTATTAGTTCTTCTTTAAATGTCTGGTAAAATTCCCCTGGGAAACCATCTGGCCCTGGACTCTTGATTATTGAGAGATTTTTGATGAATGCTTCAATTTTCTTGATGGTTATGGGTCTGTTCAGATTTTCCATTTCTTCCTGTTTCAGTTTTGGTAAGTTTGTAAATTTCCAGAAATGCCTCCATTTCTTCCAGATTGCCTAATTTGTTGGCATATAGTTGTTGTTCATAATATGTTCTTAAAATTGTTTGTATTTCTGTGGTGTTGGTCGTGATCTCTCCTCTTTTATTCATGATTTCATTAATCTAGGCCCTTTCTCTTTTCTTTTTGACATGTCTGGCTAAGGATTTATTGATCTTATTAATTCTTTCAAAGAACCAGCTTCTAGTTTCATTGATCTGTTCTACTATTCTTTTGGTTTCTATTTCATTGATTTCTGCTCTCATCTTTATTAATTCTCTTCTGCTTAGTTTAGGCTTTACTCACTGTTCTCTCCCCACCTCCTATAGGTATATGGTTAGGTTGTGTATTTGAAACTTTTCTTCTTTCTTGAGAAAGGCTTGTATTGCTATGTATTTCCCTCTTGGGAATACTTTTGCTGCATCCGAAAGGTTTCCAACAATGGTGTTTTCATTTTCATTTGTTTCCATGAATTTTTAAATCTTCTTTAATTTCCTGATTGACCCATCCATTCACTAGTAGGATGCTCTTTAACCTGAGATATTTGACTTCCTGACAAATTTCCTCCGGTGATTGAATTCAAATTTCAAATCATTATGGTCTAAAAACATGCATTGAATAATCCCAATCCCTTGATACCAACTGAGACCTGATTTGTGCTCAGTCTGTGACCTGTTCTGAAAAATGTTCTATGTGCACTAGAGAAGAATGTGTATTCTGCTACTTTAGGAGGAAATTCTCTCAATATATCAGTGAAGTCCATCTGGTACAGCGTGTCATTCAAAGCCTTTGTTTTCTTGTTGATCTTCTGCTGAGATGATCTATCCATTACTGTGAGTGGGGTGTTAACGTCCTCTGCTATTATTGTATTATTATCAATGTATTTCTTCAATTTTGTTATTAATTGCTTTATATACTTGGCTGCTCCCACATTAGGAGCATAAATATTTATGCATAAAAATTGTTAGATCTTCTTCTTGGATAGATCCTTTACGTATGATATAGTGCCCTTCTTCATCTCTTACTATAGTCTTTGGTTTAAAATCTAATTTGTCTGATATAAGAATTGCCATCCCAGCTTTCTTTTGATATACATTAGCATGATAAATGGTTCTCCACCCTTTCACTTTCAATCTGGAGGTGTATTTTGGTTTAAAATGAGTTTCTTATAAACAGTATAAGGATGGGTTTTGCTCTTTTATCCAATCTGATACCCTGTATCTTTTGATTAGAGCATTTAGCCCATTTACATTCAAATAACTACTGAATGATATGAATTTAGTGCCATTGTATTACCTGTAAAGTCACTGCTTCTGTATCACGTCTCTCTTCCTTTGTGGTCTATGTTACTTTGGGGCTCCCTTTGCTTAAAGGATCCCCTTTAATATTTCTTGCAGGGCTGGTTTAGTGATCACAAATTCTTTTAGTTTCTGTTTATCCTGAAAGCTCTTTATCTCTCTGTTTATTCTGAATGATAAAGCCTTGCTGGATAAAGTATTCTTGGCTGCATACTTTCTCATTTA